GAGGTCAGCGGTCAAAAAATCAAGCTACAAATTTGGGACACTGCTGGACAAGAAAGGTGCGAACTTGCCTTTTATAAATCTCTGCTGTTATTTTTATTCCCATGGAACCCATTACCCTCCTTCAGCTCTGTGCTTTGTTTTTCTAAATTTTAAATTCTCACCTTACGAATTTGAGAGACGACCCATCATCATGACAGGTTTATCTCTGTACCGAAGTTTTTGGCACATCGAAAGGTAGAAATTGATTGCAAGATGAATTCCATTATGGAACCTGGTTTGTGACTCATCTGCTGCTTGTATCTTCACAGCAGTGCTTTTGAGTAATGAAACGGTAGAGCATCAGGAGTTCTGCAGATTTTTTGTTAATCTGTTCCCTCAGGTGATGCTGAGCAGCGATTTTTCCAGAATGTCTAAATGCCTCATGTACGCTGCGGTATCCATAAGAAACCCGTAGTACAAAATACCATTTACATACTTAACCTGAGAGTGTGACGCTTTAAGTTGAAGCATCTAGTAAAGTGATACTACTTTAGTTATGAGGCGAGCGTTCATCTAGTTTTCTTCGATTCTGTGTTTATATATGCATTCCAGCAGTGGAAATGCATTTCAAGCTGCAACAAAGTATCTGAATGCCTTACAAAGGTTTGAGTTGAACATCCGCATGCAGTTATCCAGAATCAATGTCGATTGAATTCTTGTAAAATACCTCATCTCCTGAAAAGTTTAGGTGCTCGTGTGTTTTGAGGTTACCACCATCCCCTATCATACCGGTAGAGCACATTTTCTGTGTGTCTTGAGAGGATGGCTCATCGCCTATGCTCCTAACTGCAATCACTTCTTGCTTAAAAAATATATAGAAATTAGGTCTAGGCTTTTTCATGCTGCACTCTGTATTTTCATGTTGCGAGCAGTTCAAAAGCTTTTCGAGGGGAAACAAACCTTCTATTTTAAAAGTTGAGGTTCCGTGCCGTAACGCGTTCATATTATCGCGGTGCTGCCGGGGCTCTGATGGTTTACGACATCACAAGGCGTTCAACTTACAATCACTTGAGCAGCTGGCTCACTGATGCAAGGAATCTGACAAATCCCAATACGGTGTGGTTTCTATGTGTGACTGAATTTGGACGAAAATGTTTCTCTTGTAGGCTATTTTCTTAATTGGCAATAAGTCTGATCTTGACGGTCAGCGAGACGTGCCCTATGAGGAAGCTAAAGCGTTCGCCGAAGAAAACGGTCTCACTTTCTTGGAATGCTCTGCGAAAACGTAAGTCTTGTTCATCGGACATCCTTATTATTCAGCTTTACTCTTGGTCCAATTCTTTTTTTATTCTATTAGAGAAAAGCATTCGTACAACCCGTCTACGCTTCCCTTTTCTACAACCTTTTTTTTCGTCTCAGTGGTAAACTACCGAGCACTATTCATTTCTCGTAAATTTAAGTGGTGACAATGTCGAGGACGCATTCTTGGAGACAGCGAGAAAAATCTACCAAAACGTGAAAGATGGCAGGTAGTGAATTTTACAAAATTGTTCTTCTCTTCTTTTTTCATACCCTCTACTCAGTAGTCGTTGTGACTTAGTTTTTTTGTTCCTTTTTTTGACCAGATTCTTTCCCTATATTATCCTTTAATTGTAGTTCAAAAATTCAATTTTTTAAGTTTGTTATGTTTACCTTGGCGGCTTAGCATCATAGATTCGATACATTAGAATACATTAGAGAAAGACAACAAAAGTGATAGTGATCTTGACTGAGGAGCCTTGCAGAAAGTGATGGTGGTTTTTCACATACTATGGTAGTTATAGAGGAAATAAGGAAATTTTCTTGACTTAAAACAAAATCAGTGGAAACACTGTTTTTTTTCCAAACAGTAGTCAATGGAAAATGTTGCAAATGACATAACACACTCTTCAAAAATTCTCCTTTCATTATCTTCGTTTCCTTTTCTTTGCGTGCAAATAACTCCAACAAATTGAGGAGCTAAAGTCGTCTGTACACATAAAGTGAAGTTGTGAACAATATTGACATGATTCAACATGTTTGACGCCAATCTAATATCCCAGAGAAGTCATTCAAATTTTGGACTTTCGCTCATTGATTGCATATATTTTTGGAACCATTTGGAACCAACCAAGAGCGGACAACGGGGGAAACGCGGAGAAAAGCAAAGAGATTTATGGGATTACGAGAGTGATTATGTAAGATACATGGTAGTGATCTCAAACTTTGAAGTCAAGCGCGAGAATGAGATCGAAAGTAGAGTCATTTCTCTTTATTTTAATAAAAAAACGGCTTCCAAAGAAAAGCCCTTTTCGCATGTTTCCTACAAATTTTTTTCCTTAAATTCATGATTTCTGAAGTTGCGCAGTTTTCTACTTTCTGCACCGCAATGTTGCGAACGGAATGATGTTAAGATTATGATAGTCCAGTCACAAGAAATCTTCAGAAAGTCATAAAAAGAAATACGGGTTTTTTGGTGCGTCCCTAGAAATTGTTCGCTGGATATTAAAATCTGAAATGCGCAGTTGTCAGCTGTATTGTGGATAAGATTTCCTGACGAATGAGCAAAAAAAAAACGGACCTAAAGAATTTAATTTGACCTGGAAATCGAGGAGAACAAAGAACACGATTCTTCTTATTCTTTCACCGAGAACAAAAAATTAAATGTTGCGCAGTTGTCTATTTAAATGGACGTTTTAAGACCTTCATAATGATATACGATTTGCTTACATTAATTTGCAAAGGAGAAAAGGGCACCAGAGCCAAATGCGCCGTGGAAGAGGCTTGGTTACGTAGAGAGTGTGCAATTTTGAGAGGTGGCAGAGAACGACCAGACCCGACGGGGCATTGGGCTCTGGTGGCATATCTCGGCTCCTACTTAACGAAACCCCAACTTCCATATATCATTTTGCTCAGAATCTATGGAGAATTCAGCTGACAACTGCACAACTTTCGTGAGTCCCACCATAACGAGTTATTCTCAATATTCTCTTGTTTCTCTTATCCAAGGCTATTTGGCATACATGCTTTTATAGTTCAATTCTGAATTTGATAACTTTTACTTCCAACGATTCATGCCTTTAAAAGTTCTTAGACAGATCAACTGCTTTGAAAGAAATAGTTATAGACTCAATCCCTACATATTGTGGCCATTTTAAATCCGATTACCTCCAAAACTACATCTTTTCATTTTTTATGGTAAAAACCCCTCATCATTGTACCTTAAATCCACATTTCTTATGTGCTACGATATCTTAATCTTATTCTGTTAACGATAAAGTGAACATTTCCTCCCTCTATTGGTCTTATCGTATATTCATACTTCTAGTGTGTAGAAAATTGACTTGCTCAAACTTTCTT